AATTCTAAAAGAAGAGACATCTGAAGTAGGTTTTTGCAGCTGAACATTAGTTCCTGTATACCTAGTTTAGGAATGAATGATATTAACGTATAGTCTTGGAAGTTGTCACATTAAGAGGAAAAGGCTTTGTTTTGTTTGTGATACCCCAAGCACCTGGAACGGAGCAGGAAACATAATAGGTTTCCAATATATAAGTTTTGACTATTCATTACCTTGAAGAATAAAGTGATCATCTTCTGGGATAAATTCAAGAAATTCAGTTGAGCATATCTTAAATAATTATATTTACTTTATGTTCACCTAATATTAACAATCCTTTATTTTCTTTTCCTTAATGAAAATGTTTTATAATACGTAAACAGTTTGAGGTAGACAATGCTATTGTCTTTAATTTGCTATTGTCTTAAATGTATGGGAAAGAGAAGATTGAGCCTATCTAGGATATTATTGTATTGTAGTACAATGTAGTATAGTATTGTACTTTGGGATGAATAGTCAGAATTTTAAATATTAAACATGAACATGGGGTACTTCTTATATAGATTGGAATTTATGGAGAGAGATTGGTTTGTGCTATACAGCTCAAGTCCATCTTCTTTATACAGCATCAAGTAGGATTAGGGTGAGATTATTCTGCGTTTTCTAGGCAAAAAGGTGCCAGTTCATGGAGTCAATAAAACCGTGGGCATGTGTGCGTGGGGGGGAGTATCATATGATTTTGACCATCGTTAAAATTGAAAGTTGTTAATTGAGAGTTAATAAGAGCAAAAGCAAAGATAACTGTATTAACAGACTAACAAAAATAATATAAACAAGGATTATTATAGGCAGAAAGAAGAAAGAATGAGACCAATGAATGTAAGTATTTATCAAGTAAGAATTTGGAAAATAATTTTTTCAAAAACATAATTTAAAAATAATGCATATTTGGAAGTAAACACATCAGAAATTGCACAGGATATCTGCGAAATCTACCAGTTTACAGGTGACATGTTGCCGCTGTCTTGCCCATGGTAAACAGGAACCAGAGTTCTTTAAAACTCTAAAACTAACCAATTTTGGAGACATTTCTTTTTTATCTAATTCTTATTCCAGGGGTGCCTGGGTGGGTGAGTCAGTTAAGCATCTAAATCTTAATCTCAGCTCAGGTCTTGATCTCAGGGTCACTGTTCAAGCTTCACATTGGTCTCTATGCTGGGTATAGAGCCCAATTTAAAAAAGAAGAAGAAGACCTAGAAAATAGAATGATTTTCATTTAAAATGTTGTATGTAATTCTTAATCCTACAGCTCTTTTCTGCAACAGTCAACCTAAAACATTAGTATGGAGAAAGGATAATGGATTTATCTTTTTTTATGAGTGACATATTATCTAGAAACCTCTTTTATAGTGTTCTCTTTATTAATAATACATTTTTAAGCATTATAATTTTAATTTTTTTTTATTTTTATTTTTAAGTAGTCTCTACACCCAATGGGTACCTTGAACCTATAACCCCAAGATCAAGAGTTGTATGCTCTGCCGACTGAGTCAGCCAGGAGCCCCTCAAGTACTATAATTTTTATTGCTTGTTATTTCTCTCATTCCTACCCTCTTTCAGTCATAGTAAATGTATCTTTAAAGGGATTGATACTATGATATACGTAGCAAATATTGTGAAATTGCTTTGACTTAATGCTAAACTAATCAAATAACATAGATATGATTCAATATAATTGCATTGTATGTATACATGTGTAGTCAATAATCTTATGGTATTTACATCATTGTTTTTACTAAAGTATAATGGATCTATAACATCATATTAGTTCCAGGTATACAACATTATGATTTGATACCTATATACATTGCAAAATGTATCACCACAATAAGTCTAGTTAACATCTATTATCATACATAGTTGAAATTTTTGTATATGTGCAACAGAAACTTACTAGATCTACTACTATTTTAGCAAATTTCAAATATGCAATACAGTATTATTAATTGTAGTCATCATGTTGTATATTACATTACATCCTCGTGGTTTATTTTGTAACTGGAAATTTGTGCCTTTTGACCCCCTTCACCAATTTCACCCACCCTCTACTCCCCCACTCTGGCAATCACCAATCTGTTCTCTGAATCTATGAGCTGATTTTTTTTTTAAGGATTCCACATGTGAGGTCATACAGTATATGTCTTTCTCTGTATGACTTCTTTTAGTATAATGCCCTCAAGGTCCATCCATGTTGTTGCAAATGGCATTGTTCTTTTTTATGGCTGAGTAATATTCCATTATACATATAAAGTACATTTCCTTTGTCCCTTCACCCATTGGTGGACACTTAGGTTGTTTCCATGTCTTGGCTGTTGTAAATAATGCTCCTGTGGACAGGAAGGGTACAGCTATCTTTCCAAGTTAATGTTTTTGTTAGTATCTACATTATTAATCTCCCTTTCCTTTTTTTTTTTTCCCTATTTCTGGTTCATTTTAGTTTTCAGTACTTCTTTCTTAATAGGGTCTGGGCAAGATAAAGACATAATTTTTTTAAGTCCGTGTTTATATATATTTTCATTTCTCATGCTAAATTCACCATCTAAGATGAACCAAGATTTATTCTTCTGTAGAGTACATAGCTAGGAGCATGTTGTAATATTTTTGTGATTTTACTACAAACATTTGTTTTATTTCCTTTCTATTTTTCTTTGAGTATACTTGTCCACCAGACATAAGAAAAGTAAATATTCAATAAAATAGTTACAAAATATATACTTGTCTCTTCCTCAAAATACCAGTAAAGTTGTATTTTTAAAACTATTGTTTTTAAAACAACAAAACTATAAATGTAGACTCTTAATTTGGTAGAAGTTAATGTTTGTTGCTTCTTTTTTTTCTGATTATATGCCTAGTAGTTTGAGATTTACATAAAGCTTTGACAATCGTGTGTAAATCATATGTGTTTGGTGACAAACCTCACTGCATTTAAAGACAAAATTTGGGGGCAGTAATTTAACTTAAAAGGAAATTTACAATTCCTTTACCACAAAGAAGGCCTAGATGATCAGTCTTTAAATTATGTTTAATTACAGTTGAATGGAATTGTGGATTATAAAGGGAAAAAAAATGTAAACAAAATTTAAGTATATACATTTTAGCAATGAGCTTTTTTGGCTGGTTGTAAAAATAAAATTCAAATCTTTTAGTAGCTATGTAGTTTTCTAGGTTGTATGAAAAAGTAAGCAGTGCTATATTTGTAGAGTGCCTTGGATTATATAAGGTATTTTTTAGACAAAATGGGGCAAATAATAAATTTTAATAAATCTTATTGGGAAAACTGATTCATTAAAAAGTATTAGTTGTCAAAATGAGAAGGACTTTTGGGTGCCTAGGTGGCTCAGTCGTTAAGTGTCTGCCTTTGGCTCAGGTCATGATTCCAGGGTCCTGGGATGGAATCCCGCATCGGGCTCCCTGCTCAGCGAGAAGCCTGCTTCCTCCCTCTACCACTCTCCTCGCTTGTGTTCTGTCTCTCACTGTCTCTCTCGGTCAATTAAATAAATAAAATCTTTAAAAAAAAATGAGAAGGACTTTTGATACAAACTGCTGCTATAAACACCTTTGAAATATCAAGGTTATTGGAAGGAAATTTAGAGGGTGCGGAATATTTCAGTTTCAAAGGAAATCTCTGAAAACAGGTAATTAACTTAATATAACAGTAAATTTTCATCATTTTTAAAAGAAAATTTGTCAGTACAGATGAGAATTCATCTAACTTGATAGATCCTTCTTTGTTCTTTGGAGACCTAGTAGTTAGTGCTAAATTATGTGCATAAAAGAAGTAGATTATTTCATATAAGTTAATATAACCAATAGCAGTATTAAATATTGGCATCCACTGAGAGAGAACATGTTTCTGAATACGTTACTTGCGGCTGAGGACAAATTCAGGCATTGAGAAAAATGGCAACATTAAATTACTTAATTTTAAAAATTCTATAGACATGAACACATTTACTAATGTGATGATATCTCATAATGTGAACTGTGTATATTCAAAGGAACTTATATTTGTCTTTACTCTCTCTTCTTAATTATAAGTTAGACCATATAAAATAATACTTACCAGATTGTTGAAATAGTCAAAGTTAAGTGAATGAAAAAGCTGCTTTAAGACTCATAACTGCAACTTATTAAAATTATTTTGGTTTTTTTTTAACAGTTAAACAGGTTATTCTTTAACCTAAATAACCTTCTAACTAATACATGACCCTTGATATTCAGTCTTTTAAGTTCTAGAAGTTTCTTAGAGCAACATTTATTTTTTTTAAGATTTTATTTATTTGAGAGAAAAAGAGAGAGAGGGAGAGGAAGCACTATCAGGGAGAGGATCAGCCAGAGAGAGATGAGCAGACCCCCACTGCGCGTGGGGCCCCACAGGGGCTCGAGCTCATGCCAGAATCAAGAGTTGGAGGCTCATCCTAATTTAGCCACCCAGCGCCCCTGGAACAATATGCTTAAATTACATTGTATTATGTGGAATAATGCGATGTGAGTAACAAACACTCAGTGAAAAGTTGCTGCAGTTGCTGTAATTGCTGCTAAAGAATGGGGGAAAATTCACTACTTGTATTTTTAAAAATAGAGTTATATGGGAGTTTCCTTTGATTTTAATATGACTTATCTTTTATTTGTTCTTAGAGATTTGTATGTTAAGTCAGCTTTATTGTGGTTTGGGGAATCCATGGGTGGTAGTTTGGCATTCCAGTAATTAAGAAGACTAATGGGTTATGCTCTTTTGAGTATAAATGCACACAGGTTTTTACTCAATCGTGTTAAAATAATCCTTTTTTTTCTGCATGAGTTCTGAAGAGAGTGGCACTTGGTTTATATCATATGAGGCATACCCAACACTTGTTTGAGTTAAAATATGGATGATTAAAAAAAAAACATTTATTTTGAAGCCTGTCATTTTTTTAGATATCTGTGCTAAATGTATGTCTCTTCCTATAATTTTGCTTTAGGAGTACAAGATCCCCAGCATGAGAGAATCATTACTGTGTCTACTAATGGAAGTATTCACAGCCCAAGATTTCCTCATACTTACCCAAGAAATATGGTCTTGGTATGGAGACTGGTAGCAGCAGAGGAAAATGTATGGATACAACTTACATTTGATGAAAGATTTGGGCTTGAAGACCCAGAAGATGACATATGCAAGTAAGTTATCATACTTAAAATTCAAACAGAGTGTAACTGTTGTATAAAGTCTTTCAAGTTGCTTCATTTTAATGATGTGATTTTAAATGGCATTTTTTGTTCTGTTATGTTTTTCTGATGATCCAAGAAGTTTGCAACCTTATTTAAGCTATGTTTCTTTTAAAATCAGAAGACACGTACTGTATGTATGCATTCATTAGTTTTATCTACTTCTGAAAATAATTCAAGGTAATTTATAGCACAGAGTACATAGAGAATAAAATGATTTGAAATAAGGGATAGAGAAAGAAAATCCAAATAAAGGAATGTAGTTGTGCCAGAAAACCTAAGTTATGATTAGCGCTAAAAATTTTACATTTAAGCTTCCTGACAGCCAAGTCAATAAAATAAACAATAAATATTTAAAAGAAAAAGTAGTATTCATAGGTACATACTACCCTAGACACACATATGGATGCTCACACACACACACACACACATAGGATTAAAGGAATTTGGGTACTTCATCACAAAGAAGAAATGCAGTTCTGAAAGCAGAATTAGTTTAAGCTAACATTATGGTGTGCCAGGTAGAAATCCATCATAATTCTTCCAGAAGCATTCATGAACCAAAGTCAGCTGGAGTATTTCACCCATGCAAAAGACCACCTACTATATGTCATACAAATATTACTCTTTAAATCCTATGTGAATACACTTGTCAAGGTTGGGTGGTCTTATTGAAGACTTTTCACTTCAATGGCATTTGTATATCATGAAAATATTTTAGTTGAGCTTCTTTGTGAGGTTGTTTTCTCTTTGATATACAAGTTAAAAGAGAATTTTCACTTTATGATATATTACAGATAAATATTTCAATACAAATGAAATAAACTTTGTACTTGCTGTCATCACAGTTTGTATCTTTAACATTTGTATAATGACTTTTTTTCACATTTCTTCTTTCTGTGACTATGCATTTCATTTTTTTCCCCCTTGCATTTGTAATCTTTGACTTTGAAAACTGGAAGCTATCTTAGCTGTCTTTAGAGACTCTGTTACTCAACCCTTCATTTTATAACACAGATAGACACAACTGAGCAAAGGAACAGAAGAGAGCCCTAGAACAGACCATATCATATGCAGAAGTCTGATTACAAATTAGCTGGCTTTGCACATCACTAGGGGAAAGTGTACATGATTCAATACATGATGCTGGGAAAATCCTAATGAAAAACCTCACACCATAAACAAAAAATAATTACGGATGAATCAAAGACTTAAATATGAAAAGCAAAATTTAATAGCCAAACAGTCTTAATAAAAACTGGGCAAAAGATATGAGGAGACATTTCACAGAAGAGGAAATATGAGAAGCCAATGATAATACGAAAATTTCATTAGTAATCAGGATACACAAATAAAAGTTAATATCAATGGGGCGCCTTGGTGACTCAGTGGGCTAAAGTCTCTGCCTTTGGCTCAGGTCATGATCCTAGGGTCCTGGGATGGAGCCCCCATCAGAGTCCCTGCTCAGTGGAGAGCCTGCTTCCCCCTCCACCTCTTTTCTTGCCTCTCTGCCTACTTGTGATCTCTGTCAAATAAATGAATAAAATCTTTAAAAAAATTAATATCGAGGTACAATTTTACACTAACCATACCACCAGAAATTAAAAGAATGACAACCAAAAGGTTGCTAGCAATGTGGTACAACAGAAATTTTTGCATATTGTTGATAGAAGTGTAAATTGGTCATTTAAAATCAATTGAACTCTACCTAATAAAGTTGAAAAGAAAAATGTGTTAAGATAGCAATATGATTCTTAGATATAGACTCAAATTTTTTTTTCTTGTACCTTTGGACAAGGGGAATAAGCCAAACATTGATCGAGTAGAACATACCAAAAAAAAAGTTGACTCTCTATACAATGGAATACTATGCATCACGGAAAACAAATGATCTAAGATATCTGCACTGACATGAACTGACTTTAAAAACATTGTATCGTTCAGTTCACACACAGTATTATCCCACCGATCTAGATTTCAAAACAGGAAAAAAAAAAAAACAACAATTTACTGTTTATAGGGAAATGTGCATGTGGTAAAACAGGAGATGAGACTAAGAAAACTCAGGACAACAATTTGCAAGGGCAAGAAGAAGATGTAGTCGGGGAGGAACAAAGAGGAGGGAGTTCAGAAATATGGCAAGTGTCACCTTTCTTAGGTCGAGTCTAACACTGAGTGAAGCTCAGTCATAAGTTAGGTGAGGCATGCTGGGTGATCTTTTAATTTTTCTTATTTAACTACTAGTACACATTACACACATATACACATAACTGTGTATGCATACCACATGCATATAATGCCTCTCATGTAGCACAACCCACTAGATGGGCAGGTGTTTAGTGGCCCTCTTGGCATTGACCTACAGAAGCAGGAACTAGGGCAAGAGGCACAAGAAGGGCTGATGTCTCTGACCCGGGAGGCTCCTGTCTCCGGTCAACAGCACGAAACTCTGGTAGCAAATATGCTACTTTGAAAGGAGGGCAAAATCTTAAAGCCTTCATTAGTTTTAACAAGACAATGGAATGTTGCATATGAAAATAATACAGGAGGTGCAGAATAGTCTGGTGAAAAACTGTCTACGTGGGTGTTAGGAAAAATGGGTTGTAGCCTTTGTTTAGGTATAAAATATGAATGAGCTCTAGGGCCACTACTCTACTTCTCTGATTGTGTTCCTTACCTATAAAACCAAAATGACACTGTCTTAATTACATAGCATCTATGTAGAAGCTATGGGATAGGGCGGTCTCACCTCATTTTCTTCTCCTTTTGGAGCATCCTTGCTATTTTTATTTTTTAGAAATAGGTTGTCAAGTTCCTTGAAAACTCCTGCTGTGCTTTTTATTGTGATAGCACTGGATATATATATAGAGATAGATCATTTTGAAGAGAACTGACATCTTAATAGAAGTAAGTTTCATCTTGGAGAATTTTATGTTTCTCCATCTACTAGGGTCTTCTTTATTGGCTATACATTTTTCAGATGTCCTTTTCAGAGATGTTATGCATAATTATTTAGATTTATTTCTATATGTTTTATAGATTTGCTAAAATTCTTTCTTGAAAAGTACATTTCTAATTGTATATTGCTGGCATATAGAAATGTAATCGATTTTTAGTATTGATCTCCTATCTGGCAAACTTGCTATCAGCTCTTTTATTTATTTCCATAATTGTTCTGGGAATTATTTTGGATTTATGCAAAAAATCATATGATTTAGGAAAAGATTTCTTTCTTCTTTTCAGTTCCTTTACTCTTTCTTTTCCATCTCTTTTTAAGCAGTTGATTGTATTCGTAGGTATCCCTGTCTTCTTTCTGATTTTACAGTTTGCTTTTCAAAAAAAAATAAACTTTGAAATTTGGAGTAACTTTAGATTTGCAGAATGTTGGAAAGATAGTGCAGAGAGTTTCCATCTACTCTTAACCAAGTTTCCTCCAGTGTTGAGGTCTTGCATAACTGTGTTACATTTGCATAACTAAACATTACTTGACCTGCATGCAGTACTATTAACCAAACTACAGACTTGATTCAGAGTCCGCAGTTTTCCCACTTTATGTCCTTTATTTGTTTTAGGACCTTTCCAGGATAAGCATATGGCAGTTAGGGCTCAGGCTCCTCCAATCCGTGACAGGCTCTCTCTTTCCTGGTGTTTCATGACCTTGACAGTGTTGAAGAGTATTCATCAGGTAGTTTGTAGAACGGCTCTTAATTTAGGTTTTTCAGATCTTTTCTCATGATTACATTGAGGTTACGAATTTTAGGGAAGGATTCCAAACCGATGATAGGCTCTTCTCCTCAGATCATATCGGAGGGTACATCCGAGCCACCTCTCTGATCACTGATGGTGTTAACCTTGATCACGGAGGGTGAGCTGCTCCTCTGGTAAGAAAATACCTTTTCACTAGCTACTAACTGGAGGCCTGTAACTAAGTCCAGCCCACACTGAAGGGGAGAGTGATTCAGTTCCACCCGCCTGGGACACCTGGGTGGCTCAGTTGGTTGAAGTTTCTGCCTTCCACTTGGGTCACGGTCTCAGGGTCCTTGGATCAAGCCTTGTGTCAGGCTCCTGGCTCAGTGGGAAACCTTCTTCTCCCTCTCCTTCTGCCCCTCTCCCTGCTCATGCACTGGCTTGCTCTCTTTATCTCCCTCTCTCTTTCCCTCAAATAAATAAATAAAATATTTTTTAAAAAGTTCCACCTTCTGGATGGGAGAGATTATATATATATATATATATATATATATAATTTGGAATTTTTTAGTAAAGAAAATTTGTGCCTTCACTTTCCTTCCTTCCTTCCTTCCTCCTTGCTTCCATCATTATATCAGTATAGACTCATGGATATTTATTTTATTCTTTGTGTTGTAAACTAGTGCTAATCATTATTTAATTTGTAGTTGGAACTGTTCCATATTTGGCCTGTGAGAATAAAGGGTTTGCTGTTAATATACCAATATTGAGTATGATGATTAATGGAGTTTTTTTTTTTCTTTATTATTTCAAGTACTTCCTTTTTTACTTTGTTAAGAGGCATTTTTCCCCTTTGGGAAAAATTTTTTATTCCTTTAATTTCTGCATTTAAAAAGAAGTTATAGACACAATGACAGTTTATACTTCACAATAAATCACCTAAGAACAAGGGTATTCCCTATGTAATTTCAATACCTCTTTCACATGCAAGAAATTTAGTATTAATATGTATAGTTGACTTTTCATTGTTTCCCCCATCCCAAAATGTTAACACTTCCTTATTTTCTTTCTACTTACTATGTTTTATTCAGTGACAAATCATTGATTATATATTGCATTTGGTTATTATAACTCTTGCCTTGCCCTTTCCTGGCTTTTATGATATTGTTATTTTTGAACAGTCCAGGCTATTTGCTCTGTAGATCCTCCCAGTGTCAATGTATCTGAATATGTCTTCATAATTATGTCCTGCTTAAATATTTTGG